CCGGCCCAGGCCACACCTCGTCCTCAGGGAAGCTGCCCCCCTCAGGAGGCAGGGGAGGCACTCCAGGGTTTTGCAAAGCTGGGGTTCAAGGGGTGTTAGAGTTTCCAACACAGGAGGTAAAGGACCACCAGCTGGGCTCTGTTTTATCCCCCCATAAACACACACACACACACGCACATGACTCACACATACCTTACACACATGCACATAAATACACACACACAACTCACATACATGTTTTCCCTGATCACATGTATACTTCACATAAGTTGCAAAAAATTAAATAGCAAAGAAATGTAAAAACCAGAACTAACACTTTGCTTTACGTAATGTGTCTCCAATGCCTCTCAGCATGCATGCACTCACCCTCCGTCCTCTGTGTACTATTTTGTACCCACAAGGCCACGCCGACAGTGAAGCCTGCTGATTAAGTTGGCCCAGCTCAAGAGCCAGCACGTGGCTATCCCAGCAGACTAACTGCCGAGGGCCTCTGCCACCTCCAGTGTCCAGAATGCTGGGAGTTAAAGGGCACTGCGGGAATTCCACACCAGTCTGGAGCTGAAACTGGTGGGGGAATCCCAGCCCTGGCATCGCTGGTTGGAATTTCTTCAAAGGGAATGAATGGCTTAGGGTTCGAAAAGCCTGCCTGATTCACTTTGATCCTTCCCTGCAGCCCTCCCAGAAGGGGTGTGAGTCAGGCGCCAGCAGACTGTGTTGGGAGGCCTCTTGGGCCTGGAGAAGCCTGATGTGAGAGGATCCCTCCTCCCCTCGCACCCAGAGGTTCCTACTGGGAGGAGACCTCAGGGAAGGCAGTTCCTGCCAGCTCTCCTAGGCACACTGCCCGGGGGATGCCCCGTCTCCTGCTGGTGACAACTCCCAAAGGGGCATTTTCTCTGCTGTCCCTTTTGTTGCAGAGAGGTGACCAGGGAGCAGACAGGGGTGTGTGTGTGCGTGTGTGTGCACGTGTGACCAGGTGGCAGGCAGGAGTGTATGTGGGTGTGTGTGCGACCAGGGAGCAGGCAGCAGTGTGTGTGCATGTGTGCGCTTGCACGTGCGACCAGGGAGCAGGCAGGGCTGTGTGTGTGTGACCAGGGAGCAGGCAGGGCTGTATGTGTGCGTGCAACCAGAGCCAGACTGCCTGAGTAATATCCCAGATGTTCCATGTCGGAGCACTGGGGGCTTTGGGGATCCCTTGGCAAGTTTTCCGACCGTGGGCAGCGTGTGATCTGTAGTTCAGGGGGAGGTGAAGGCCAGTCCTTCTCCAGGGTTGTCCTGTCTGTAGGCCAGTCTGGGGCACCCTATCTGGCTGGATTAGAAGTTTAGACTCCACCCAGAAGGGGAGCTCCGAACTCATCCACATTAAAGAAAAAGTTAGGCGGGGTGAGTTGCAACTTCTTTTTCCTTTTTTTAACCCAAAGTCATCAAACTTCGGGCCCCTCCCACCTGGTGCTGGGGACTCGACCAGGCACGGGCACCCGGGGTAGGAAGAGGATCCTAGGGTGGGTTTCTTGGCTCCAAGGCAGCCCACCAGCCAGCGCGCTCTCCAAAAGAACTGGGGCGCAGCACCCGCCCCACGTCCGCTCCCGCCCCGGGCCAGCCCCTTCCTCGCCGCGCCCGCTGCCCCCACCCCCTTGCCCGCGGCGCCCAGTGGGAAGCGGGGGCTGGCCTCCCCGCCCCGAGCGCCGGGCTCTGATTTGCTGAGGGCGTCGGGGATCGACAGCCTTTGCAGTGCCTTCCAGGAGAGAGAGAGGGAGGAAAAGAGGAAAAAAGTGCAGGGCGCCCAAGGCGAGGTGCGCACTCCGAGTCCCCGCAGCCGGCGTGGTACCTCACTCCAGCGGAGCGGCCAGGGCGAGCGGGGCGCGGGCCGGCGGCGGAGAGGAGGCCAGAAAGAGGAGGAGGCGAGG